ACAACAAAGCACAATTTCAAACAAAAGCAAGTGATCTAGCGAGTAACTAAGAGCCCATGGAAAACCATGGATAAAAAGGGTGCTAATACCTTCCCTTTTCATAATTTACCCCTCGAACTCAAGAAACAATCTCAAAGGTCTTTCCTGTGCTTTTTCACCTTTCCTTTTGGATAAAAGAAAAGTCGATGGTGATTCTTGCTAACCGCAACATTTGTGATTAAACGCAAAACCTTCAAGTCAGTTCTCCCACCGTATCACAATCATGTATCTGACCGTTTTTGAAAATTCAATGGGGGGTGTGCTAGGGCAGGATGACGAGTCTGGCCGAAAAGAGCACGCTATTTATTACTTGAGCAAAAATTTTACCAACTGTGAAACAAGATATTCACTGCTCGAGAAAACTTGTTGCACTCTGGCATGGGCTGCTCTCTGGATAAGACAGTATATGCTGACCCTTACAACCTTATTGATATCTAAAATGGATCCGATAAAATACATCTTCGAGAAACCTGCCCTCTATGGGAGAATAGCGAGATGGAAAATGATCCTGACAGAATATGAGATACAGTATACTACCCAGAAAGCAATAAAGGGCAGTGTACTAGCTGATCACCTTGCTCGCCAAGCTGTGGAAGACTACCAGTCCATGAAGTTCGAATTCCCAGATGAAGACATCATGATGGTAAACAACTGTGAAGAATTCAGGCCATATGACGGACCTGAACAAGGATCCCGATGGACCCTGGTTTTTGATGGGGCATCTAACGCAATCGGCAATGGTATTGGTGTTGTACTCATATCTCCTGAAGGATGTCATACTCCTTTTACTGCAAGACTCTGCTTCAATTGTACAAACAACAAGGTGGAATACGAAGCGTGCATTTTTGGTCTCAAAGCCGCCATAGACTTGGGGATCAAATCATTGAATGTATTCGGAGATTCAGCTTTGGTCATCATCCAGATCAAAGGAGAGTGGGACACTAAATACCCTAACATTATCCCCTACAAAGAACATGTGTTGACATTGCTCCCATATTTTGAGAAGATTACCTTCGAGCATTTCCCGCGAGAAGAAAATCAGCTAGCAGACACACTAGCCACAATGTCATCCATGTTTAAACTTAAATGGGATAACGAGGCTCCCCAGATCACCATTGAACGAATGGATGAACCAGCTCACTATCACGAGATTAATACTGAAGAAGTAGTGGACCAGCCTTGGTTTCACGGAGTCAAGAGGTATCTCGAGGCTCAAGAATATCCAGAAGGAGCTTCAGCCAATGATAAGAAGTTCTTAAGGATATTTTCTGCTAATTTCTTCCTTGGTAATGGCATTCTCTACAAACGCAACCACGACTATGTACTACTTTGGTGCGTAGATAAGGTTGAAGCGGAAAAGATCATGGCTGAGTTACATGAGGGCACTTTTGGCACCCATTCCAATGGGCATACGATGGCAAAGAAAATCCTACGGGAAGGCTATTACTGGTCTACAATGGAAGCAGATTGCTATCAACATTCTCGAACCTGCCTTAAGTGTTAGATATATGTTGACAAGGTACACATACCTCTGGTTCCTCTAAATGTCTTGTTGGCTCCTTGGCCCTTTGCTATGTGGGGGATTGATAAGATTGGGCAAATCAAACCAACAGCCTCCAATGGACATCGCTTCATCTTGGTGGCCATTGACTATTTTACAAAATGGGTTGAGGCAGCCTCTTTCGCTTCCGTCACCAAGAATGTTGTCGCCCGGTTCATCAAGCAGAATCTCATCTACCAGTACGGTATCCCGGAGAGGATTATCACAGATAATGGTACGAATCTAAACAATACTATGATCACCTCCCTGTGTGAACAATTCAAGATCCATTATCACAATTCTTCCCCTTACCGGTCAAAGATGAATGGTGATGTCGAAGCCGCAAATAAGAACATTAAAAAGATTATACAGAAAATGACAGTCACATACAATGACTGGCATGATATGTTACCATTCGCTCTCCACATGTATCATACCACAGCACGCACATCAACAGGGGCAACACCCTACTCTCTGGTACATGGCATGGAGGCTGTCTTGCCTATTGAGGTCCAGACACTACAAGAAAATTGGCAGATTGCGACAGGTATTTTTGTAGATCACGACGGTTAAAATCGTCGCAATTTGCTTTCCACGACGGTTGCTTTACCGTCGCAGAAGTGTGTGTCCCCAACCTATTTCGCGACGGTTACAAAAACTGTCGTTCAAGTTTACGACGGGTTGATACCGTCGTGACTATCTTTTGAGTTTCTTTTAATTATTGATGGCGACGGTTCGATACTGTCGTGAATATCTTTTGAAATTGATTAAATTGTTTATGGCGACGGTTCGATACCGTCATGACTTTTGTTGATTACGACGGTTCGGTACTGTCGCCATGACTTTTGTTTATGTCTTGATTTTTTTTTATTTTTCTATTATATATATTTTTTATTTAAATTATTATCTATGTAAAAAATTTTAAATATAGTTTTTTTTTGTGTTATTTTTTTCTTTAAATTATTTCTTCTTTAATATATTTATTTATAGTATTATTTTTTGTTTTATTTTCTATCACTTTGTAATATAGTAAAAATAATTTCAATAAAAAATATTTAACATCAAATAAGCATTATAATATCCAAAAAAATGTGTGTTCCATAATCATGTAAAATGTGAGTTCCATAATCATGTCAAGTAGTACAAAAAACCCAAAATATATCAATTTCTAATTTTATAATAATAAGTATCATTATGCCAAAAATACATGAGAAAGTTCACAATCTAATTATCTCGATCATAGCAAAGTCTAATTTGTCCCCCCTGAAGTTCCATTATCTCCAATACGGTAGCTAGACTCAGATGAACGTCTACCATCAGCGGGTGATTCCAATCCCTAAAAAAAGGTATTAAAATAATTATCGTTAAAATAATACTCATAAAATAGAATTAGAACAATAACAAAGTTAGGTAATAGAACTATTCAAGGAAGATTGCTCAAACTTCATGAAGAAGCTACCACATAAAATAGATTAAACCAATTACTACTATATCATGTATCAGAAGAAAAGAAAATAACAAGAAAGCTAGTTCTTTGTATTGAGGCCATATTCCCAATTATTAACTGTTCCTACTAATGTTATTTATTCACAAACTTCATCATATTTCAAACCATAGAGAAGTGTTCCTACTAATGTTATTTATTAAACATATAAACAAAACATGTACCATAGGAAGAGAAAGACTGGTAAGATACGTTCAAAATGATCTATATCAGATGACACTCTTAGAAGGAATAATTGCAACAAAGAAACAAATAATGAAATTATCAAATCAGAATTAACTTACATTGCAGACAAAACATATAGCGGCAGTTGTTTCCAAACTATTAAACAGATTTATCAGCATCTCTTTTGGAAGCCTTTTTTCCATTTCAACATAATCTTTTCCAACAGGATCAGAATTGTATTCTTTAACAAGAAGTGGGTGATCACAAGCCTGACGGAGACGTAAAAGCATCAAAACAGTATTTGCATAGTTTTGATTCACTGTACGACAGCAACATATGCCTGCAAATTACAAGCATTACTTTTCAAAATTACAAACTGAGAACATCCATCAGTGTAGAAATATCAGATGAACAAAATCATATAATTCGTAATTGACATGCCCACTGTCAAAATAAATTTCTAGACACTAATTTAAAAAAGAAAAGACAAACAGTATCATTACAGTATGTCCAAGTTAATATAAGAAATTTGAAAAGAAATAAACTTTAAATTGAGAACGTGAATCAGCTTCCAACTTTTTGTAGTATACCAAACTCCAAAATATTTAAAAGATCCTATGTTGTGTTTGTCCCTTACTTTTTACTGAAATTCTTTCACAAGTACATATAAAATTCTATTACCATTTACATTTTATTAAAATGACACAATTTTATTTTGTGTTGCATTTGTTTTAAAAAGGCTAGTGATACAGTTTAACATTTAGCTCTTAAGTTATAATCATTACCCATCAATTTATGTTGCACATGACTATTAAAATTTATAACTTAACATCCCACTGCAATGGTAAATGAAATGAATTATGAATACCTCAGAACCTTCTTTTATGCATTCATCATACTGCCTTGTCTTCAAGTAGCAGGCCATCAAGTTAAGTGAGCATGCCAAAAGAAGTTTTCTACTTTGAAAAGATGGAATCTCTTTGATGTTTTCCTTGGCCTAAAATGTAAAAATTAAAACAAGGTGATATAGACTTATAGTGATAATTTCCTATAGTCTCAAAATAGAGATAAACAACAATGAAAGGTGTGGAGGAGACAGTTAAGCAATCTGAAAAGTCAACCTACCAACTTATACTTCTGCAAAACATCATCGAACTTTCCTTAAAATCCATACAAAATTAAAAAGCATCAACAAAATTTTATAACAATATTACCCGAGCAACATCCAAAGTGTCAAAACAACCAAAATCTTCATTGTAACAACATTTTGCCCATTCATCGATCAACCATCACAACTCACAACCGGAAGTTTGTAATCTTCGACAACACTACACTTGTTCATATGCAAAGTACTTCATCTTCCAACAATAAGAGGATTTTTGTTCTTGTAAATGTAATAGCTCATACACAATTTCTCTAAAGTTGCAACAGAATGTTGCATAGGATTTAGCTTTATATCCATCATCATTCTCTGCCATAATAACAACAAAACATTAAACAGCCTCCTAACAGCAACATTTTCACTTTACAATGTTAATATATCTTCAATTGAAATTAACATGACAACAGATCAATCCTGAAAATCAGCTCCATATTTCTCAACTAGCCGACTAATATAAAGACGCTGAATCAAAGTCAAAGGTTGAGGAAGTGCACTTTTATAAAATTCCAAGTGCCGATTAGATAGTAGCATCCAATATTTACATATGCCACAAATACTTGCCATCACATGATGCAATTAATCTTCAAAAGTTAATCTACTTCCGGGTTCACGAACTCATTCACTCCAAACTTCTTAGCTGTGAACAAGATTGATTATTACTAAAGTTAGTCCTTGAATTTATGTTGTTGACGAAAATCTTAAATCATTAGATGGAACACAGAAAGTGTTGTACCTAATTCAAATCGGCTGGAAACTAAATCAACTCCAATGATTCTTGATGCACCAGAGATCCTTGCACCTTCAGCAGCCTACATTATGGTTAAAAAAGAAGATCAAAAATTAATATTGTCTCATTTCATTTCCAATCATAGCTGCAATGCAACACACACATGCAGACAAAGATATAAGAGTAATAACATACAGCAAGGCCAACAACTCCAAGCCCAAAGATAGCAACTGAAGAACCTGGCTTTGGTTTTGCAACATTCACAGTAGCACCAAGACCTATAAGCATCAATGCAAATTGAATTAGGAAATCACAGACCAAGCCTGGTAATATATAAATATCTGAAGCTAGGGATCTTGTATATATATACCTGTGCATATTCCACAACTGAGAATACAAACTTTGTCAAGTGGTGCTTCAGGATTGATCTTTGCAACACATCCAGCATGAACCACTGTGTACTCACTGAATGTAGAGGTGCCCACGAAATGGTTTATGGGCTCTCCATTGATAGAGAATCTAGACTTGTTATCATTGAGCATGACACCTCTGTCAGTGTTGATCCTAAGAAGATCACACATGTTGCTCTCCTCTGACTTACAATGTGGACATTCACCACACTCCCCTCTGAATACAGGCAGGGCTTTATCCCCTGGTTTCAGATGAGTCACACCTTCACCTACGCTCTCCACGATCCTGATAAACATCATTCATTCACATTACATACTAAATTACTGATACACTAAATAATCAAGACATTTTATCAGAAGAGAAGCATATACCCTCCAGCTTCATGACCAAAAATACGAGGAAACAATGGAGTCTGACCCTGAAACAGTGGCAAAAAAGAGAAAACCATGTTAAGCTATTGCGATTCATAACAACATACAGAAACAAAACACACTATTTTCTTAACTGTACGACCAACTTCAGAACCATCAGATTCATCCAGCTGCAGCTGATTGTGTTCGACCACAGTGTTATCCCATTGCTTTTTGTAGTGATTGTCCATGTAGAAGTTTCTTAGCATCTCGGCGGAAATATCATTGAACACAGTCATACTCCAATATTTCAGGGGACCATTCTGCAACATCCAAGGACAACAAGTTCTTCAGCGGGTGTCTAGTTAAAGTATTAGTTTTTCATGTCTTAGATAGTTGAAAAGAAGCAGGAAAGGTATGAGCGATAGTGAGTGGAGAGTTTAACCTTAGGTTTGGTGGATTTAGCTTTGTAGCATAGATGATGATTTGTTTTATCTATGACATCCTACCATTTATGGTTCTGATTTAGAATTTCATCCATTAAAAACTTCAAATCAGCATCAGTGACAGTGTTTGAGGTTCTGCAATTGTAAACCCTAAAAGCCCCAATTTCAGTAAAGCGTATGAAATTGAACGAAAATAAAATGAATAAAGTAGAGTAGTAGACCTTGGGTTTAAATTGCTAGAATCGGAGATCAAAGAGGACGCCAACAGGGATCTGCTCTTACGGTTCAGAAGAAACAATAAAGTAACAACAACAACAAGAAGAAGAAGAATAGCGCAGCCACCATAGAAGTTGCTCAAATTTAAAGGGAAGCCATCGAAGCTTCTTAAGGTTCTCATCGAATTGATGTGGTTGAAGTTTGTACAGAGAAAAAGCAAAAGTATGAAGAAATTTGGAGAAAGATACGTGAACAATAAATAAAAAGAGAAATAGACGAAGCGGGGTAAAGGATTTAGGGGGACGACGGGTGTGGTTACCGTCGTGCCCTTTCATAACTTTTGCATGTTTTTTAAAGGTTTAGGGGGGCGACGGTTGTTTTACTGTCGTGATGTCTATTTTAGGACGGTTTCTTAACCGTCGCAACATTCATTTTAGGGCGGTTTAATGAAAAATTGTCGCGATATTTAATATTTTTTAAATATGTAAGGACGGTAGGTGTATACCGTCGTGACATGGGTCCCTATATTAGAATTACGACGGTTATTAAGTAACTGTCGCAATTTTTGTGTCGTAAAATCCTAATTTTCTTGTAGTGAGATCCCCTCTCTGAGAATCATGAAGGATGCAGGGCTGAACGAAGACGATTGGATCCAGACTCGACTTGATCAACTAAACTTGATTGATGAGAAAAGGCTTACTGCTGTCTGCCATGGTCAAATGTATCAAAAACGAATGATCAAGGCTTTCAACAAAAAGGTCAGACGCCAAGTGTATCAAGTCGGGGATTTGGTGATCAAACGTATTATACTGCCGCAAGGTGATCCCAGGGGCAAATGGACTCCTACATACGAAGGACCATTTGTAATCAAAAGCATATTCTCTGGTGGAGCAATGATCTTAACCACCATGGATGGCGACGACCTGCCGCATCCTGTGAATGCAGACATAGTCAAAAGATACTACGCATAAGAGACCCGCTAGGTTGACACACCTAGGCAAAACAAGGGCATCCCGGTGAACCAAAGAGGTTCGGGCAAAAATTAGGGATAAAACGAAAAAAATATGTACATCCGACAAGTTGAAAACCCGAAAGGACGGCTTGGGCAAAAAAGGGTTTCCCGGTGGACTGAAAACCCGAAAGGGCGGTCCAGGCAAAAGTTAGGGAATTAAAGCGTATGACTATGTCCCGTTGGATCACTTTACGGACAACCTTTGGCTTCAACTAACAAACTCATAGGTTCTGATCAATTCAATCATCTTCGGAGGAGGAAACAAATAGGCAAGATGCTCAGAGATACGAAGGCTATAGTAGAATGGGAACCCCATGGGATTATTGCACATAGCTATCTTTTCTTTGTATCAAAATTTTCATTTTTACAATAGCATTCTCTTACTAGAATGTTTGTCTCATTGTACAAAAATACTTACTCAAAGTCAATACAAAGATATCCCTTTGAAAGTGCAAAACTATCTGTTTTTCTTGACTCTTGTCTTTTGTTTACAAAAAATGTCCAATGATTTATTTTTGAACATATGCATTTGAACATAATTATTGTTTACAAAATGAACAAAATAAAAAGACAATCACTGATGGCTTTAAGATGTATGGAAATATCTCTAAGTTATTTCCATAAAATCCCCCGCAGTATGCAGTTTAATCCCCAGCGGAACAAAGCTTCCAGTTATCAATCCCCATTAGAAGTTATCGAATTTCTCAGGGTCCTCTAAACAGGATTTTACAAGCAGTACATGACATTTTCCTTACAACAGAGTTTATTTCTCTAAGCGGAAATTCGTCAACACTTCAACTTTACAACATGAAGACTTACACTCCATATCCTCAACAGTAGTCAGGGATTTATTTTCCCCAATCCAACAGCAGCACGGCAGTTTGGCTCATATACGCATACATCACATCCATATATCATAAACATTGATAACACGAATACATTACACTATTCATTTCATACAACATGACATTGCATATTAGCTAACATTTTACCCTTTTCAGGATAAGTTTAATTAACAGCTACCTCTAACAATGTTCAGAGGTTTCTCAGATACAGTTCAGATACGCTTCAGATATGGATGCCATCCTGATACTCATTCAAATTCAACTCTCAGATACAGTTCAGATACGCTCTAGACACGGATGCCAACCTGATACTCATTCAGATTCAACTCTCAGATACAGTTCATATACACTCCAGACACGAATACCATCCTGATACTCATTCAGATTCAACTCTCAGATACAATTCAGATATGCTCCAGACACGGATTCCATTCTGATACTCATTCAGATTCTTTTTCAGATACAGTTCAGATACGCTCCAGACACGGATGCCATTCTGATACTCATTCAGATTCAACTCTCAGATACAGTTTAGATACACTCCAGATACATATGCCATTCTGATACTCATTCAGATTCTAACTCTCAGATACAATTCAGATACACTCCAGACACGGACTCCATTCTGATACTCATTCAGATTCCAACTCTCAGATACAGTTCAGATACGCTCCAGACACAGACGCCATTCTGATACTCATTCAGATTCTCTTTTAGATTCAGTTCAGCAATCATTTTTGGATGGCATCTACAAGACCATCTCCAACAAACTTTCCATCATCTCTCCAAATGGCATCTTTAAGCCCATTCCCTCAACCATCACATCATCGAGTGCAAATTTTTGGGCACTCTAGTGTCCAATCATCTTGCACCTTCGAGTCACGAATGGAAAAACTCGCCAATCTAACTCTTCAGGCTTAAGAAGATTGAATAGGGGCAGTTGTTGTACCCTAAAATTTTCCCTCTCACTTATCAATAATTTTCTCACAAGATCTCCTTTGACTCAAGATTGCATTAGGGTTTGATCAGCTCAAGACACCTCTTTAAGCACTGATGACCAAAATTAGGGTTTGATATTGCACAAGGATATTTGGATTTCCAATGCCCCATATGTTTTTCATGGATCATTATGGACCCCCAAGATCACTCATATCAAGTTTCAAGCTCTGAATCACACTTTTGCTCAGTCAATTGAGCAGTTGACTTAAAAATCAATTGTATTGGAGAAAAAGTCAACAATGGTCAATTTGCAGTCAAACCTCATAATTTTTTATTCACGTCAACATTTTAAACTCATATGTATCATTTGATCAAGTTTGGACCATAATTCCTCAAGAAATTTGATCAAATCTCCAAAAGAGCAAAATGGTCAAAATTAGGGTTTTGACTAAGAAATGGCAATTTCTGATTTTTTTTTACCAAGAAAATGATCAATTGGTTTAAGGCATAATCTCAAGAGTCCAATTGCATTATTTTTGACCTAATGACATGGCTCAAAACATTGCTCAAGTTCAAAGGATTGACAGATGAATTTTCAGTCAACTGATCAAAAGTCAAGTGTACACTGAAAAGTCAAACTTTGACTTTTTGGTCAAAATCCAATGTCAAAGATCAAAATTCATCAAAACATGTCAAAATATGAAACTTATTCATCTAGAAATCAAAAGTCAAGATTTCATTTTGAAAAGTCAAAATTTCTAAACTTAGAAATTTTTCTAAGTGTTGGAAATTTCTTATTTTTTCATAACTTTGAGAAAAAATTTCACCATGATGCAAGCTGATTCAAGAGAAACTTACAACATGAAAGTTGTAGATATACATGAAATCTACAAATTTTCTTCACACAACTTCTTCTAAAAGTTCTTGGATCTCAAGTTATAATTTTAAGAACATGTGGTCATGAAACAAAACACTTAGTGAAATTTTGCCCTAATTTGGTCACGATTTTAACCCAACTTCATGGCACTTTTTCATATAGTTCCAAAGGCAATATTCAAAGTCAATTCAAAGATGGATTGTAGAGAACATTTCAAGCTTTCCAAAATGTCCAAGAACTCCTTGAGATCATTTTTGAATAGGGAGAATCGAAGAGATGAAGTTAGGGTTTGTCACTTAATTTACAAGGCATTTTGTGATGAACCAAATTCAAAATTCAAACCATGTTGCATAAACTCTACTTTGCAGGCCTCAAACTTGTTAGGCACTCCATAATTAATTGTTTACACAGCTTTTAGAGGTCTCACTTCAAGCATTCAATGCATGGACATGCTTTATATCCATTTTTGGAAGAAAGGTTACATTGCCATTTTGATAAAGTGCTTTTTTGCACAAAACTTGTTCTTGAGCCTTGCACTTGTGCTCTTCTGATCACACAAGTCCTATAACTCATGAGAAATGGTTTAAACACTTGCAATCACCCAGCCCATGCTTGTACCTCCTCTTGAAACTTGTTTCCCACTTTTCTTCAAAGTCAAGTAACCTAGCCAAAAGCTAGAAACTTGTACTTCTGATTGGCCACAACTCTCAAACACTTTTGTTTATACATACACAAAACTTGGACCACAAAGACATGAATGCTCATGCCCTGAAAAGACCTAGAACTCAGAATCACATTCCATACCTCCATTTTCACACAAACTGATCAAAAACTTGAAACTCATAATCTACTCGTGCATTTCTTGGCCTTTTAGTTCCTAAAGCTTCTAAACATCATATAGGAACGACCCCACACCCTGTTATAGAACTGTAACACCATTAACATCATCCTCCATTTTCAAAAACAGAGCTCAGCACATTGACTTCTCCAGACCATTTCAGCCATCCATTGCGCAAGCTAATCATTGCATTAGCTTCCTGGGACCTCAAGGAAGCTAACCTGATCATCACCATCACTTGAAACAAGCTCAAACTTAAAACACGATTTCCAGTTTTGAGGTAAGTTTTCTTAACTTCGAACTCTTTATACAAGCATCATTAATGATTTATTTATGAACAAAACATGTTAATATCATTGCCCTAAAGCTAACCATGTTCATAGTTTCCATTAATTTTGCTTGAGCTTAGAGAATTTTAGGATTGAAGTTTCTGGGATTTTTAGGGTTCAGATTAAGGCCAATAAAATTCATGTTTATCTTTGATCTATAGTTTTAATGTTTTACATTTTTGAAACTGTGAGGAAATTTGCTACAAGTTTCATGTTTACAGTTTTCATTTTTGATGAGAAATGAGCAACTTACAGTTGGTCTGACTGGAGGTTGAAGATGAAGTCATCAGTGCGTGTTTTGTTTTCATATATTTATTGTTTTGCTTATGTTAACGGATGTA